ATGTGGCTGGTGCCTTAGGGGCATGAGCTACAGGCGCCAAGCCTTAATTAAAAAACTTTTATTCTTTTCTTGTAAGGAAATTATTATTCTGACTGGGTGGACCCCTGTTGTGTCCTCAGAGCCTACCAAGGCTCCTGGCTCATTACAGGGGCTCTAACTCCTGTCCTCAAGCAATCCTCTTGCCTCAGTCTCCCAAAGTGCTGAGATTACCTTTTATGCTGCATTTAAATACATCATTCTAGGAAGGGGACTGTGGAGTGAAAGAGCCCCTGGTCCACACCACCTTGCATCATTACATGCCATTTGAGCCCTGAATAACGTTGGGTGGAGGCGCCTGCTGTCTTGTCATGGGTCTCCCTGCTCTCTGAATTGGGGAGTCTCTAAGTCCTGGGTTGTTATCAACTTTTCTGATGTCCTTGCAACCATTGGTGCCACTTCCCCAAGGCACAATCTCATTTTTACCCCCAGCTCCCTTCTTCCTCCTCTGTCAAAACTGAATGGAGAAATTCGGATATATGCTACAGCACAGAAGGACCTGGAATATCATATGCCACGTGAAATAAGCCTGTCACAAAGGGACAAATACAGCATGATGATTCCCACTCATACAGAGTAGTCAAATTCATAGAGACAAAAAGTAGAATGGTGGTTTCCAGAGGCTGGGGGAGGGAAGAATAGAGAGTTAGTATTTAATGGGCATAGAATTTCTCTTGGGGATCATGAGAAAGTTCTGGACATGGATGGTGGTGATGGTTGCTGAACCATGGGACTTAATACTGTCCACTGGACATTTAAAAGTGGCAAATATGACAACTTGCACATTATGTATGTTTTATGGCAATTTTTAAAAATATAAATTTTAAAGGGCCCAGTAGTCAAGTGGATGCTGTTAGTTTTGGGCCTGAGTTATGATCAGTGTCCAGGTGACTTGGTCAAGAGGTAACCATGACCTCTCTCTCATTTCTGGATGAGGGGAAAATGATCTGTGGGAAGACAGTCACAGAGCTGATGCTAGCATCTGGGAGCAGGGATCTAAGTTGGGCTCCGAGGGCTGTGTAGAAGTTCAGCTCAGTTTTGACCTCCTCAGGGGCCCAGTGGTCTCTGGCTGACCCATGCTCTGCTTGGAAGGGCCTTGCTTTGGCACTATGCTCCCAGGAAGTGGGATATGCTGGGGCCCAGTCTGCCCTTATTATATCTTCTGGGCCTCACTTTCCCCCACCTGCAAGATGGGGTATCAGTTCCAGAGCCAACCAAGGAGCTGCCAAAGACCAAATAAGATAACCCACGTGGTTATGTGCTCAAAAACGTTATTTGGCCCCTTCCTTCCCCCGAGACGCTCGAAGTCACCTTTCCAGAACCCAGGCCCAGGGTCTGTAGAAGTCATGGGCCAACCTTTGTGCGTAGTTACAAGAAGTGTCTTGGAGCAGTGCCGCCAGGAGTTTGCCTTTTTCCTACTGTGTTTTATTTCACACGTGGATGATGTAGGTCTGGAGCTGGGAAGAGAAATCGTTCATCCCTCTGCAACTCTGTATTTCAGCTTCCCAACCACAAATAATTCCCGGGGCCTGCACAGAAACGGGGCACATCACCCAGGCCCCTGCACTGTCACCACGCCCCTGGACTTGGTGCTGTGGCCTCCTCGCTGCGTTTGGGGTTTCCTCTAGCATCCCTTGCCTGTTCCCCCAGGCGGCCGCCAGAGGACGCCAGCGAACCAACGTCAGCTCAGCGCATTGGATGGCTTCAGCCTCACACAGAAGAGAGCAAAATCATCCCTGCCGGGAACACAAGGTCCTAACGATTAGGCTCCCTTTGTTCCCTCTCTGACTCTGACCTTACCTCAGGACTTGTCCTCATCTCTCAGTCACTGCCCCCCCACTCGCCAGCACTGGACTTTTCACTGTTCCTCAGCACTCCCTGGGAAGCTCTCCTGCCTCTGGGCCTTTGTACCGACTGTTCCTGCCCTTTGGATGCTTTCCCCCCAGAAATCCCCCATGTCTCCCTCCCTTTGTTTATGCATGTCTGTGCTCAAATGTCACCTTTTCAAAGACACTTTTCCCTCCCACCTGATCCTGAAGGCTATAGTGTGCAGTTGTGCAAGTTGTTCACTGCACAAGGAA